GAGAGAGAAAGAGAGACTGTCTGTGTATGAGTGTGTGCACTGTGTGTGTGTCAGGGCTACCCAAACGTTCTGACTTATACAACATTTCGAGGTTGAATATGAGTAAAGAAAATCACATCGACACAATAACGCGGAAAAGTAAAACAGGCACACAGGAAAAAAAGCATGACCTTGCAGTGACACCCTCGAACCACCTGGGACACATACAGAATAATAGATTTGATTTCAGGATAAGACAGGATTATCGACCTTAACCTCGAGCATCGACCACGTCTGTCGTTGAATCAAATAAATTCTCATCGCATCACACCACGAGCTAAATGAAAAGTATCTTATTCTGAAATCCATGCAAAACAAAAAGAAAAAGCGAAGAAGCGACGAGCAAAAGTGTGGCAGCAAGAAGCCAGCTCTTTCAAGGACACCAAGTTAATTATGATCTCTGATAAACCTATCACGCCCTGATTGAACACAAAGAAACGTTTCCGCTGTAATTGGAATGACACCAACGAGTGGTGAAACGCATTCGTTTGTGGACCCAGTGTAGTAGTGTATCGTTCTGAAACGGTGCCACCTTAATTCCATATCTGTCTGATACAGAAAATGTGCAATGGTTCGTGTTCCTTCTATGGAACAAAACTACTTCTTGTATCTCTATGGATAGACGTATAGTGTAATATTATACAAACAACATTGATACATAAAAGGAACCCATCCCACCGTATACATTTATTTTCATTCGTATTAGTTGGTTATGTAACAAAAGATTCATTTCAAAGAATTTCCATTTTACCGCCCGTCAGCCCATGAACGCCTAAAACCTTATATGGTCGCTTTTAGGGAAAAGTGGGCTATCCCGAAAAATGCAATTTCGAGAAAATCGAAGGTAGTTTTTGCCCCTTGTTCAGTTTCATTAAAAAAACAAGGAGAGTTTTCTCTATAACTCTACAAATATACACACCAAATAAACCAAACGCCTCCTATAGGTAGGGCAAAGCCCACTTTGGTGCAGATGTTAGATGGTGCGCTCATATAATATTATAAATATGACCTTATACAGTTGCGAGCGTAGTAAAATACTCACCAAAACAAAACAAAAAGATGTTAGAGTGCTTTCCGTTTCTTCGCTTGTTGTTTAGGCTTTGTTTGATTTGTAGTAGTAGCATTAAATTCGCAATGTGAAGTTATAGCAATTTATTTCTGGAAACCCCCGAAATCTGGGTTAGCCCGCTTGTCCTTAAAAGCGACCATATATAACAGGGACGTCAAAATATAGAACAAGAACGCACCTTCAGCACACCCTCGCTTCATACAGAAAGGGCGGAAACTTTTCAGTGTGTTCACCGTAGGCGTAATAGATATTCTCAAAGATGTTATATATGGTGCACTCATATAATATTATAAATATGACCTTATACAGTTGCGAGCGCAGTGAAACACTCACCAAAACAAAACAAAAAGATGTTAGAGTGCTTTCCGTTTCTTCGCTTGTTGTTTAGGCTTTGTTTGATTTGTAGTAGTAGCATTAAATTCGCGATGGGAAGTTATAGCAAAATTTATTTGATTCAAAGACATGACACGACTACCGATGCTTAAGCAAGGCTCGAACCGATACTGTTTTGGGATCAAACTCATTCTCACAACAGAGCAAGCATCGTTGTTTAATCCACTACATACATGAAATCAATATATATCTCCGATATATATGTACATGTATTTTTATATATTATATTGTTCAATATTAGATCATATCATACTATACATCATATCACATCCTATCAGATCAGATCAGATCAGATCAGATCAGACCAGACCAGATCATGCTATAGTATCATATTACAATATTTTACATTATACTACAATATATTAAATCATATACCCTTATGTTATGTTGTTTTTTTAAATCAGTGTCTGCAAAGATAGCCAGAGTTTCAGATTGTCCGTGACATACTTAAATCAGATCGAGTGGTACGATAAGATGAATGCGAATACGAAACAGGGAACCCAAATGTCAGGGTCTGCTAGAAACTCACCAGAAAACAGGAGAGGGAAGGGTTTGTAACTTTGCATCATCATAGTTTGTTTTCTTCTTTCTTTCTTTAATTTAATTTTTTTCGTTTTTCGTGCATTCTTTTGCTTGAGGTGCGGAGATGCGGCGATATCGGGGGTGGGGTGGGGGGGGGGTTGAAGGTCAGAACACGCTACAACATCCCAGTGCAATTTTTCGTCGCTTCAGGTGTTTCCCGTAACATTTCAGGGGCATATTTTACCGAGGTAGCCCGGCGCTACACAAAAATAAATCTTCTCGACAACTCAATAAATTATCTTGTGTTGATGAAAGACAGTTCCCTGCTTGGGGTTTTCGCCAGTACCATGTTTCTGAAGAAGTTATTTAAGGAAACAAAGAGGGGAAAATGGGTGCAGGGTGCGTAGATGAAAAAAGTGGGGTGTGTGGGGAGGAGGGCAGGACAGGTGAGTACAAAACGACAGGAGGCCGGGAGTAAAAGGAATGTAATGTAGAGTTGTAGTTGTAATGTATAATGAGTCTGCACGATAAGACAATATCAGAAAAGACGAGATTCAGATTTGCTGGGGGGTTTTCACACCAGACAAAACTGTGAAACAAGGCTTGGACAAATAACAAATTAAACAGAAGCAGGCATGCGAGCATTAAAACCAAGCATGCATTCTGGTTTAATTGTAACCTTGCCATTGGAATCTGAATCTTTCTGCATGCAAAATTGAAATATTCTTACATATAAAACACAACACAATTTAAAAGCTATCGGCGTTAAAAAGGTAAAGCAATGTAACTGAAAAGGGGGGGAAAAAAGTATTTGAAACCTGGAGCAACATTAAATTTCATAACGTATCATACATAATGGGTTACCTTAGGCTCCATGGCACCTGTTCCTTAGCCAGAGAATTCCATGCCGCGCATCACAGACTGTCCAAAGGCTGGATGCCACTACGCACTCCGTCCAAGGGCCACTCACCACCAGCACAAAGAAAAGAAGAACGTCTCTAAACCAGCTCCTCACTTCTCTCTACCTGTAAAGAAACAAGAGACGGTGACTGATCCGCCTGCGGTGATGAGCGGTCAAGCTAACTGGAATTCCTTTCTCGACAACTAGGGCAAAACTGTCTAACGACACAACCACGACTTCCCGGCAGGTCAAGCCGATTAGAATTCCGAGCGTGACAGTCTAATTCAGAACGTTCAGCTATCCAGTACTGACTGGCATCCTGGCCGGCACGCCAAATAGCGATGACAGAAAGGAAGTAACTTGGCGACGCCGGTCAACTAGTGGGTCGTACAAGATTTTAGAGAAAAAACATGAACCAACAAACTGAACGTTGTGGGCATCATGTCGCACAGACAAAGGACAGGTTGCCTGTGTGTGCGTGCGTGTGTGAGCGAGACAACGAGAGGGCACAACGAAGGTTCCCACATTCAGCATGGCAGTGCCGACTGACTTCACATACTCGGGGAAAGACAGCAATGTTGACAGAAAGCGTTAACACCTCTCCATGCCGGGAGAAAACAAGCGTTTGAGGACGGTTTTAAGAACCAAACACACAACCACCTTTCTTTCACACCTAACTACAAATCCAATAATAGCCAACATAGCAGCTCACTATCTTAGTCATTTGGCAGAAAAGGTACCAAACACGGCTTGGTGCAGCAGTAACACAAATCGCGCATTTTTCTCCGCCTAACGGACATAACGGACGGTCATAATAATCATGGCCTTCGGTACTGGCTAGTCTCGTCCGCGTGCGAACAGCTGGACCGGCCAAGGTGAGGTCAAGACCTGGGAGGAACACCGCCGACGTGTTATTTCTTCGTATTAGCAAATTCCGCACGGCGTTACGTCAGCGGCTTGGTACAGCGGCATACCAAGGAAAACTTGAACTTTCAAGTCGCAGTCAGCCACTAAGGGGACCACAAAACTACAGCAATAGTGATGGCGACACAGACAGCCACTTGAGTTTCTTTATACCACTGTGCTATAAAAAGACTAAAATTATTCCGAAAAATTACGGAAATCTTGCCTTGTTAACGGCGGGTGAACATGCCCAAATTGCACATTGTTCGCAAGTCTTCTCCCCTGTCTTCATCTGACTAATAATCTTGCCCTTTCAACCCCTTGCAATCAAACTTATAAAATGGAAACATGATGATAATAATAATAATGATATTAATAATAATAACAACAATGATGATAATATAAATAATATATAACATTTATATAGCGCCTTTCCAAAAAAGTAGCTCAATGCGCTTTACATTGGAATACTCATTTTCAAAACTTTTCTTATTACTTCCTTTCTTCTCATGCAATACATATATATTTATGCACACACACACACACACACACACACACACACACACACACACACACACACACACACACACACACGGACTATTTTCATTCAGACATAGGCACAGAACAACAATAATTTTTAAAAATAACGTTAAAAGCTTATGAAGAATAGGCTGATGAAGATGATGATGACACATGTAATGATAATTGCATTTATTTAGCGCATATCCACGCTCTACAGTATCCTCTATGCGCTTTACAAAAATTATTATTACTCCAGTAGACCCTAGAACACCCAGAGAAACATTCTCTGCTTCCCGGCAGGAAGCATACAGTGCAAGCTGCGTATTGCACACACTAAAACACTAACAACCTGACAAGATCTTTCGCTGTCTGTAGCAAGGTGCCCATTTCAACGTTTCATGAAGTGAGGAAAATGCACGCAAAGTGCCTGTCTCAGGGACACAACCTCGGGTCCCTGAGAGGATTCGAAACCACGACATAACGGTTGCAAGTCCGAGACTATTAGGACAACGACCAATAACTACAGTGTCCTACCGATACTAATACCAGCAGTGGTTTCGTTTAAATCCCAAGCACTTCCAAAGAACACAGGAGGGCATGGGATATGAATACCTCGACAGGCGCAACTTTCTCGGTGTCGGAGGTATCATTAATTCACCTCAACCCTTTCAGCATAGCCATGGTACATTTTCTCCCTCATTACTTCGTCTCTCTCTCTCTCTCTCTCTCTCTCTCTCTCTCTCTCTCTCTCTCTCTCTCTCTCTCTCTCGGACCAATCTACATTTAACTGAAGATACTTTCTATACCGAATTAGACCACCATCCAGCTCCCAAAAAAAGACAAGCTATTTCCTCCATGTCTACCGACCGGGAAAAGCCGTTGCTTTAAGATTGTTTGTGAGTCTGCATTCTCTCTCTCTCTCTCTCTCTCTCTCTCTCTCTCTCTCTCTCTCTCTCACACACACACACACATACACGAGCGCGCGTACACACACACACACACACACACACACAACCATGCAAATACAGGGGCACACACCAGTATCCACGACAGTTAAAGAAAGACAGCACGAACAAGTTCAAAAGAGAAGACACTTTCACTTCAAATCTCAACACACACTAAGGGAAATCACCATCTCCAAGCTCAAGAAGCAAATATGTTAGCCTCCCCTTATAATATTTTCTTACATTTACATAATGTATTTCACCACAGTTCAACGTAAAATCAGATCTCATTTTCTTTAGTACTCGAAAGTTATTTATTAAGGACAAATCTTTTGAATGAATGTAGATGTATATGGCATGCATAAACTCGTAATATAAACATGTGGGTGTATCACTGAGATCTGCCCAGAATGAGACGGCTAAGCTTATTATTTCAAGTTGCGGTTTTGATTTTTGTAATAAACGATTCAAAGTTGGAATTCTGCAAGTCTTTGTCAATTACCGATTACTGGTACGTGGCAATGCACACATTGATCTATTTAACCCACTTCTTTTCTCAGCTACATATTATGGATCGCAACAAACTACTAATTATTACAGAGAATAGGCCTTCAGCTTATTTAAATCATCTACCATTCTTTGATGAGATGGTCGGGGGTTGGGAGGAACGGGGACGGGGGGGGGGGGGTGTTCTCCATAACTATATCCTTCAACTTCAACGGAAGATAACAAAAGCACACGTAACTGTGGAATTATAAACTACAAAATGTTGAAATTCCGTTTATGTTAGACTCAAACCCAGTTGGCTGTTTTGGAATCAATGCCCTTTTTTTAATGGGGGGCTAAGTAGCTCAACAGGTATGGTCCTCGCCTGTCAACCTGGAGGTACGGAGTTCAATACCCGGTACGGTAGGGTAGGACCGAGTATTCAGTCTTCTCAAATATGAAAAAAAAAAATTTCGGAGGTCCTATTTGGAAGTTTTACATAAATATCCCTTGGTGGTTCTAAAATATATTAAAAAACTTACCCTTACGTCCTTTGTTCTGGCAAAATTCAAAATTAATTCTCATCTAAGAACTAAAGCAACTCTTGTCAATAAAAATATAGCCCCAAAGCAGAATCGGCAGATCTGTGCAGTGACAAAAGGCAATGGTACAAGCATTTATTTTTTATAATGTCTACAAGAGTACAAACATTAATCATTGACAGGACTGTGATGTTGACAGGACAATGATGTAACTCATATATGTTGATAAAAAGAACTTCATATAAGTCATATAATACAACATGGGTCAAATTACAGTCCAACCATCCGTAATGGAAAGCTGTGTAAGATAGTAGCCTGTCATAACGGAATCTCTGCTCTCCCCCCCCCCCCCCCCCCCCCCGATAAATTCCTCTAAAATTACCTCTATAACTCAGGAACCTAACACGGAAACAGAAAGAGAAATTCCTTCCCTTTGGAGGGTTTTTTAACCTGTCTAAGACAGAAAATTTTTCCATTCAGCACTGAAATAAAACAAAATTATTAAGTCTGGTTCCTTCCGCTCTAGCTTGAAAGCAGCCATGCCGCCAGATGTGGAAGAGGAGTAGGTTTGCGGTTTGAGGATAGATGTTACCCAATGCATCCATGGGAGCTTCTAGTGGTGCAGATGGTCAGGGTGGTGTGGGTGAGAAATCTCACCAGTGCCTGTGAAAGTGTTCAAGTGGTGCTCCAGCATGGAAACTTTCATGGGAGGCCAGAGAAATGAAATTACTTTGACCAGTGCCTGCCACCCTGATGGTACAGCCAGCCAAGAAAATAATACTTCCTGTGCTTATTTACACGGACAGGTAGGGCTAAGGGTGGAAGCAAAGGAGACACTCAATCGTTTCTGTTTTTGACAGGTTAAACAATGGTCCTATGAAATGCAAGCACTCCTGGCAAGGATAAGTGGGACTGGCGCATGAAATCGAGAGAGCTAAGATAGTACTTGAGAGGTGTGGGGTTTTGACCTGTGCTTGCCGACCAGACAAGTGACCCTTCAGCCCACGGGCTGGGCCTTTGAAACCCCCCTCCATCTCCCCCTAAATCCCCCCGTCTAAGACGGATTTTTTTTTTCTGGCTCCCTTAAGATTCTGTCTTACACAGGTTCAACTGTATATGGTTAACACAGCGCTACACAGGCAAGCAGGAAGGATAAAAGCTTATGATAAACACAGGTGTAAAGTGAGCTAGGTACCTGCTGAAGTAAATGATTTTAAAGAAGCTGTGGCAAGCAGGAATAAGTTCCTTTAAGAAAAATGATTATTTAGATCGTTATCCAGTAGAAGCTTCCAATCACAGTGCATGGATGGTTTAGGGACAACAATACAAGGCTAATCAAACCTGCATGCACTGATTTCTCATAAAAGAGGGTATGGACAAAGGGGTGGGGTGTGTTCGAACTGCCTGCTGATATTTCAACAAACAATGATAAGTGTCTTGACGTTATAGTGGTTGTATATGTCTGGCCAAATGAAGATGTGAAATCTACCATGAGGGTGTATTTCGCAATTTTTATGCAACTCATATAACTTGTCCATTAAAGCATGCGCTTATATAATAAATCAATACACTTCCGGTACCACATATTATTATGAATGAGGTAATGATTTAAGACAGGCTCATGAAGGGATCGAACAATAAAAAAAATTTAAAAAGCACATTTGTGTGAGTGAGAACAGCAGGCTTTAAGGTTGGATATGTCAAGGGGACATGCAAATGGTCCATCC